CTGTTTAAAATTTCCACTTTCTGCGATAACGCCAAAGTTGTTCTTTTCCTCTTATTCCCATCATCTTTTGCACCAATGCAAGCCATTAGGGTGAAATAAGCATAAGCAATTATCCAAAGTAAATTTCCTGAAAGACAGAAATTTCAAATCAGTTACATATCACCCAAATAGTTCAAATATACACATCAAAACCCATGTCCGGATATGCGGGATTCCTGATATGAGGCACTCCGGATATTAGGGATTCCGGATATGAGGGATTCTACTGTATAATTTTAGCGATTATGGTCAGTGGCTAAAAAGAAAAAAAAAAGATTGAAGGCAAAACCGGCAAAAAGTTAGAAATACTTCAAAATAACTTCAATCAAGATTTGCCGGGTTTTTATCACGTGGTATAGTTCACATGTCAGGTCAGTGAATTGTGGTAAACAGAGTGCTCTGAAACAGATTTATACAACAACTGTCTTTGCCAGCCAGCTCGCTTAATTATATCGCCAAGCAACGAATAGGAATACCCAGATTAAAGATCTCCACTTGTAAGATCACCCGACCACATCAAAGAATTTTTTCATCTAAATGGCCAAAAACGCGGAGAAGTTTCATTAAAAAAAAATAGATTCTCTTAACAGTTATTCATATGTTCAGTTCATGGCATTCTCAGCATCCTTCTGTAGAATCACATTTCTGTTGCCAAGAGTATTCTCGTCATATGGGAAGAAACTGTTCAGCCTTCACGGCCACATACGAATATTCATATGAAATAACAGTTGTTCATTCTATTCTTTGTTTCTAACGTGATTTTCTTGTTTCTTAATACTTTGCTTAGCTTTTGGAAGGCATCTTTCGCTATCCCATATATATTTTTCCTATCCCTTCGGATTTCTGCCGGCTGTTATAACATTTCAAAGTTAAAATTCTGTATCTGCTTTATTCCGACGTCTCCAGTTTGTAGCGCGCATCTTCGACTGCCTCTTTTGCTAATGTCTCTACATTCTGTCTTCTTCCAGTTTAAAGTTAGTTCTTTCAGTAGAAGACGTTAAGTTACCAAACCATGACAATATTCCAAAGCAGGCTCCATAGAACATTTTTGGTTGAAGAATGTAGGACAAATTAAGCATTGTGGTACCTCCACAGGTAAAAAATCAGCATCTTGTGATGAAAGCATACTCCAAAGGCAATAAAAACAGTTTTTTTTTCGTCAAAATCGTTGTTATTATTAAGAGTAATGTTCATAGGATTTTTTTTTAATTAATAAATTTTTTACTTCTTTTAGAACACTCAAAGGTTGGATTAAATTTTTTACTTGCGTCAGCGGTTGAACTAACTTTTAGCATAGTAAATTTTCGCCTCCTTTTTGCGTGACTAACATTAATTTGGAAATTCTTTCAAAAATCAAATTGTCGGATTTTAATGAAATTTTTAGGACTTATTCAAACGAATTAAATTATTTTAAAATTTTTTTTTATTAGAAAATATTGGTGAAAATATTTTTATTTTTTTTATTTTACATGTCTTTCTCCTCCTTACTTAATTTTATGAAAGTTTGAGAAATTCATCAAGATAATTTTTAGTGACTATAAGTTACACGCAGAATTTTTTGATGAATTTAAAACACTTATTTTTTTTTTTTTTGCAAAATTGGACCCGGTCTTACCAGAAATCTATTCTGAATCGAAAAAAAATAATAATATACTACGACATTACTTAATTAGAGAAGATTTTAATTGCTTTAACGAATATTATATATTAAAGATAATATTGTCTGAATAAAAAATATCGTTGAAAAATTTTCGATTTGAAAAAAAAAAAAAGATTTGTTTTCATTTTTGCAATATTTTACAATATAGAAATGAATGATTTATATTTTTTTAATCTTTTCAATTTCGAAAGAGATAATTCTTTGGGAATATTGTTATTAAGTAAAACTATAATTACTAATCACATATTTTAAAGTTTATTACAATCTGAATACACCGATTATTTTTAAAAGTATTTCGATTTGTTTTTATATATGTATATAGATGTAGAATTTCTGAAGTATGGATGTACAAACCGATAAATCTATTCTTAAAAGGTCACGTGTTTTAAGGGTTGTCACTCCTTACGAAAAAACAAAACCCTAATTAAAATTATCGTCTGCTACAGCATACTTAAGTATGAACACGTTCAGCGATGACCGCCGTCAATAAATCGATTGTCAGAAAAACAAAATACGGTTCTTAGGAAATGCTTGTATACAACATTTTATGCAATAAGTAAGTAATATTTGTTTCAAGTCAGATTAACTTAACTTTAAATTTGCTAATTTTTCTCAGATAACGTTTCATAAATATATATTTTACTTTTGCAAGATTTTTAAAACGTAAAAATAAGTTTTGTTTACAAATGTCTAAAAATGGCTGACATTATCGTTTTTACTGAAAAAAAATAATGCAATTCTATTCCAATATAATTTCTGTCTGAAATACACCAACGTATTTTGCTTACAGGGTATAGTAAATTCAATCCTTTGGCCTTCATTTAAAGCTAAATTGAAAGCTTCAGGAAAACTTTTACATTTTTAAAAATTAATTTTAATACTTACGTATACCAAATTCGTAAAGGTACCTAATGTAAACTGTGAAACTAATTTAAAAATCAGTAAATTAAATTGACAGTCACCATTAGTGGATGTCCCCACAGTGAGGCTCCGTGCCTTGAGAGGCTATCGGGCCTTAAACTCACGCCTGGCTTCAAGTGGAACTCGTACATACGATTCATCGCTCGAGATATAGGTAAAATGATCGGCTCCCTGTACCGTTCCAGTAAGTAGCTGACTCCTCATACCATCCCCTACCTTTATAAGAGCCAGCTGAAATAACTATTGATCACTATTTTTTAACAAAATTTTCCTGTTTCTAAATATATTCTGTGAGTCTCAAATTCTCCAAGCCCTCTGTCCTCATTATTTGTCCTAGTAATTTGAACTATCTTGTTTGTTTCGAAGCATAAATTCGAGGCCTAAAATGGAGTACTATTTTTATGCTGCATGTTAGCAGCAGTAAAGGATCTCAGCACGGCTTTTTCCTCTTGGCCGGCGTTTTGGTTTTGGTTCTTCAACACAGAGAATTTTAACTTAACTATTTTTTATTAATCATGTCGACATGTAAGTTATCTAACTATCCAGTAGGGGTCGCCCTCCACTTCACTGTGGAGCCGTTTCGGACACGAAAGAGAACACGTCTACATAGCTTGACAGGTAAGAAACAACCCGCTGAAACATTTCTCCTATCTATCTTTCACACGCCAGCTCACTCACTCAAAAACGACTTCCTTATTATGGCTTACAACTGGCCCCGAATGTCAACCTTCGGATGTCGGAGCCGAAATACACTTCCCTTAAAAATAATAGTTTGTTAAACTATTATTTAAGAGTCATATTTGGACGGAAGCTGCCCAGTCCCTACTCTTTAGTCACGATAGTCTCCGAGCGTCTCCGAGTCATTGTGGATGACAAGGTATTTCCGCATTTCAATTTCT